GCACACCAGCCCAAACAGGTCTTCACTGCCAGAGCTCTTACTTGGCCACCATAAGTACATGACATTGCTGAAGAAACAAAACACATTGGTTACCAGGTAGAGAGAAAGAGTAATCTTGAACTTACCAGGGAACACTCCCTGCTGGATAGCTTTCATAGGACTGCAAGGTTCTGTGCAGTTACTTTGCAGAGAAGATATGTACCCTGCTCAATAATACAAACCTACAAGGCAAAATGTGTGCACTGGTGCAATACTAGTATGACACCTTATGGGTATAACCAACCTGTTTCTTGAGTGGATTGACACCAGCTGCATAAAAGGGAATTATGCTTGGTACTGGAAATATGGTAAAAAAAAATCATGGCTTGGGAATTACAGGTCAAAGTGCAGAACCTACTGATGTTTTGTTAATGATCATATTGTTAATCTGCCATCTAAATATTCATGTTTATAATTAAATATTTGTACTACTCTCAAACTTGATGATAAAAGTCTCCTCTGACAGTTGGTAGTAGGTGATTTAGAGTTGAAATAGCTGTTCCAAAAGTACTGTGAACAAGCAACTGTAAGATTCAGGCAACCTCCGTTTCATCATGGTTGAAGGAGGGGCTCTGGAGTCTTTCCATCAATAAAGTTCTACTGCCAGTTAAGGGCACGTATTTTTTTTAGAGTTTAGAGTACATGGTGATTTGAAAAAAATGGCCCCCAAAGGGAGTGGCTATGTTAGGTGTAGTATTTTTCAAAGAAGTGTGTCACCATGGGACTGGGCTTTAAAGTCTGTTTTGCTCAAGCCTAGTGCAGTATGACACTCAGACTACTTCCTGTTGTCTACAAGTCAAGATCTAATTCCTTCTCCATTCTAAGCTCATTTTCTAGCACCATGTCTGCCTACATGCTTCCATGTCCCACCATGATGATGATGGATTAAACCTCTGAAATTGTAAGCCAGCCCCAATTAAATGTTTTCCTCTGTAAGATTGGTGGTCATGGTGTCTCTTCATAGCAATAGAAACCATAAGACAGAGTAAATACTTTCCCAATTTCCTTCAGTACTTCAAAAGTTCATTCTTCATGCCTTCAGGCAGTTCTTTCTTTTGTGGAGACGATGTCTTTCTATAATCCTGGTTGTCTTGGTATTTGTTCCTTAGACCAAACTGGACTTGATCTCTCTGAGATCATTCTGCCTCTACTTCCAGCATCCAGGGATTAAAGGCATGTTATACTATACCCTGAGATCTTAGTCAATCAATGTTATGTATATGGACATATTACCTGCATGTATGTCTATGCAGTATGTGCATGCAGTGCCTACAGAATCCAGAAGGCATCAGATCCCTGAATACTATAGTTACATGCAGTTGTGAGGTGCCAGTTAGATGTCAATCAAACCAGGTCCTATGGAAAAGTTACCAGTGCTCTTATTCACTCAGCCATTTCTCCAGCCCTAATCATGGAGATTTCTAAACTGTATGTGAGCATGTACATGTTGTCATTCAGTCTACCTCTTTACAGTTTCTCAACTCTTCACTATTTATATGGTTTCAATCTAGTATAAAGATTTTTGAGGGTGGATAAAAGTTGGAAATTTATTGGAGCATTTTCAGGTGTGTTTTCTTTCATTATAAAATTTCTTTCATGTTTACTATTTCAGCACTAGGCAAATGATTTGTCAAATTGAATGTATTTGGGGGTAGAACTTCCAATGAACAAGACATGGGGATTATCTATGGTATACTTTTATAAGGTTTTTCAGAAGTACAAATTGACTGATATACAGCAAAATTAGAGGAAAAACTAAATGTTTTTTCTCAATTTTTGATACTACATTTTGTCATTATTATTATTATTTATACTGTTTGGTTTTAGAAACAGGGTATATAGCCATGTTAGTTCTGATCTACTGTGAAGATCAAGCTGGCCTTGAACTCACACAAATCCTCCTGCCTCTGTGTTTGGAATGAGGGGATTAAAGGTGAGCACTATCATGCTTGGAATTAGCATGCATTTTTGGATGTTGAGCAAGATAAATGTTCTAATTATAGCTTTTCTCAAGGGTTGGAGAAATGGATTAGTTGTTGTTAGTACTGGCTTCTCTTCCAGATAATCAGGGTTCAATTCCCAGCACATATATAGCAGTTCACAACTGCCTGTAACTACAGCTTTGTGGATATGATACTTTCTTTTCAGACGCCAAAGTCAGGAAGCATACATGGAGTGCAGAGACATGCATGCAGTCAAAATTTTTCCATGCATTTTCTTAAAAGAGCTTTTCGGGCCAGGCGGTGGTGGCGCACGCCTTCAATCCCAGCACTCGGGAGGCAGAGCCAGGTGGATCTCTGTGAGTTCAAGGCCAGCCTGGGCTACCAAGTGAGTTCCAGGAAAGGCGCAAAAGCTATACAGAGAAACCCTGTCTCGAAAAACCAAAAAAAAAAACAAAAAAAAAAGAGCTTTTCACACAGTTAAATTTTCAAAATTTAGCCAGGTGGTGGTGGCACACACCTTTAATCCCAGCACTCAGGAGGCAGAGCCAGGCGGATCTCTGTAAGTTCCAGGAGAGGCGCAAAGTTACACAGAGAAACCCTGTCTCGAAAAATCAAAAAAAAAAAATTTCAAAATTTTATTTTAGTATAAACTCTGTGATACTTTTCTAGTATTTAAACCTCATTATAGGCTTTCACAAGTTTGTTGCCTTTATGTTTCTATTATGTACACTGTTGTGATTTTTAAGCAGAGATTTCCAGATAACTGTGAAGTCATATTTACAACAGCATTTTTCACTCCTGTATGAATTTTCTGATGTGCTCTAAGAGTTGATGACTTAGTAAAAGATTCACCACATTCCTTACATACTCAAGGTGTCTCTCCAGTATGAACTCTGTAATGTGTTCTAAGATTTGAACACTAGATGAAGGATTTATTCCAGTCTTTATATTTGTAAAGATTCTCTCTAGTATGAATTTTCAGATGTACTGTAGACAGAATTCTAAACAGTCTTAGTCAATAAGAAACACAGAGCCAAATACAGAGAAAAACAGCCAAAGAGATCAGAGAGTCAAGACTACCGTATCTTATCACCTCACCACTGTTGCTTCCCCAGAGAGAGAGAGAGCTTCTAAAGTCTGACTTGTCTTCTTATTGCCTTTCTGTTCTGCCTTCTCATTGGTTCAAAACCCAACCACACGACTTCCTTGTCACTACCTGTCTATACAGATCTCCAGGTCTCTATGGTTGGTACTGGAATTAAAGGTTCATGTCACCACACTTGGCTGTGTCCTTGGCCAGACCTTGACAGAGACTCTGCCTTCCATGTGATTGGATTAAGGGCATGGGCTACTACCACCTGACTGCTGACCCTGGCTCTCTATGACCTCTGATCTTCAGACAAACTTTGTTTATTAACATACAAATAAAATCACATTTCAGCACAAATATTGTGAGACCAAAATGAGCCATCTTAGAAATAAGACCAAAATGCTTTCACCCAAAAACTAAGGCCTAAGATTTCTCCTTCTAGGAATAGGCCAATAGTTACTGAAACAAGAACCAGATTCCAGAAACCAGGAAGTGTAAAAGTACAGAGTCACAAGGTAGTCACAAGGTAATGACTGCCGGACTAAAGAATGTTCCAACCCTGGTTTCCAGGGTAACTGACCATAAAAATGCCCCCACCTGAGGGCAGCCAATGAGAAATAGTTGTGGGCAACCACTCCCTTAGAAGATTAAGCCAGTATTTCTAGAAAGCCCCTAGAAGCGAGCCAATCAGAATTGTACCCATACTAGCACCCCTAAATGATGTAACCTTGTGATTTTTCCCTTTAAAAACTGAGCTTGCAGATAGGTGGACATGGCAGATCCCAGACCCAGGGTACTACTTTCTTGGGTGGGCACCCCAAGAACTCAGACTCTGGTCCAGTTGATGCAAACAGCAAGAGGTTTATTGATGCGGCTGTACAATCGGGCTCCTCTCCTCCCAAAGAGCAAGAGTCGCGCCTTACTGCAGTCACATAGGTACTTTTAAAGGAAAAAACCCACAAAAGCCATAAGATTACAATTCCCATGCAATTTTGTTCTGATTGGTTTATGTCTAGGGGCTAATTTCACAAGTTCATGGCCTAATCACAGGGTAGGTACAATCATGTCCATATACACATCAGAACCTCAAGGGGGGGATATCAGGGCAGGAGTGAAAGTTAGACAAAGGTTACAGTGGTCTTTCCTGGAACACGTGCAATTATCCCAGTCATGGTTGAGCAACATATCTTAACAGAAATTTCCATACATTGTGGTGATTGAGCAATGGCTGAGTCAGTCTGCCCTCCTGGGGCTTGGGGGGTGTAAGCCTGAAGGGTTAGGGTCTTTCAGACACTTCCTCCAGCCTCCACTGTGTTGGATGTATTGGATGAAGTCCCTGTCTAGGCTTGTATTGCTTTTGGGTATCCAGAATTAAACCTTGATTTTGCATTCCAGCATGCTCATCTTTGGTGGTCTCTCTGGGGGTCACGATCTGGGCACAACAATGTAATATCACCATAACGTACTCTAAGATATGAACTTCTAGTAAAAGGTTTGCCAAATTCCTTATACAAGTAAAGTATCTCTTAGATGAACTCTTTAATGTTTTCTCAGGTTTGAATACTATTAAAGATTATGTCATAGACTTTGTATTTGTAAATCTTCTTTCCAGTATGAATTTTCTGATGTTCTCTGAGACATGAGCACAAAAAAAATTGTCACATTCTTAACCTCTGTAAGGTTTCTTTCCAAAATGAATTTTCTGATATGTTCTTAGAGATGAGGTCATAGTAAAGGACTTGTTACATACTTCACATTTGTAAGGCTTTTCAAAAGCATGGATTCTATAATGTGTTTTAAGAGTGATAATACAAAAAAGTAAAAAAAAAAGTACGTACCACATTCTTTGTTTTTCTACAATTTCTCTCAAAAATTAATTTTCTTTTTTTTCTTCTTCTTCTTTTTTGTTTTCTTTGAGACAAGGTTTCTCTGTGAAACAGTCCTGCTGTCCTGGAACTCACTCTATAGACAAGACTGGCCTCTAATTCAGAGATCTACCTGCCTTTCTCCAGGGAGTGCTGAGATTAAAGGTGTGGTCCATCACTGCATGGTGAGAATGAATTTTCGGATGCCTTCCAAATGATAAATAGTGGCTACAGGATCTGTCATAATCATTGAATTTGTAAAGCTACTCTCCAGCATGCCTTTCATTTGTATGCATATTCTCATGGCTGTGGTAGTGCTACCACCTATTCACCATGTCCGGGGCTGAAGTTTAGAAACAGAGACAAGACAATGGGTCATTTGTCTCAGCAGAATGCCAAATGCCTAATGCTGTTTATTGAAGGAGGGAGGAGGCCTTAAATACAGGCTTACAGCACAGTGGGAGAACCTGGAGGGCAGAAGTTTGCTACAGATGTTTTACATTCTTTCATCCTAGCTGCTTACACCAAATGCAGGATACACAAACAAGGAACCTCCAGTAAACTGTTTTAGGAGAAGGAAACTGGCAGTGAATCTACATAGGGAGGACATCTGATCAAGGTCAGCAAGCAAGGCAACAGCTACCAAAGGAACCAGGGTCAGGGCCCAACAGCTATGAAGTGATGATAATAAGGAAATGACATTCAACATTCTTTGCATTTGTAAGGTTTCTCCCCAGTATGAAGTCTTTGATGTGTTTTAAGGCTTGAGCACCTAGTAAAGGGTTTGTCACAAACATTGCTTTTGTAGAATTTCTCTCTAGGATGAATTATCTTATGATTTATAAGAGTTGACTTTAGAGAAAAGCATTTGTCACAAACATTGCACTTGTAGGGTTTCTCTCCAGTATTAATTCTGTGATGCTTATGAAATGTTGATAAATGAGGAAATGATATTGCACATTCTTTGCATATGTAAGGTTTTTCTCCAGTATGAAGTCTTTGTTGTGTTTTAAAAATTGAGCACTGATTAAAGGAATTATCATAAAGGTTATATATGTAGGGATTCTCTCCAGTATACATTCTCTGATGCCTATGAAATGTTGATAAGTGAGGAAATGACATTCCTCATTCTGTGCATTTGTAAGGTTTCTCCCCAGTATGAAGTCTTCGATGTTTTTAATTTGATTACTTTTTTTTTGTTTTTATGAGATAGGGTTTCTCTGTAGCTTTGAAGCCTGTCCTGGAACTCACTTTGTAGACCAGGCTGTCCTCAAACTCACAGAGATCTGACTGGCTCTGCCTCTGAGTTCTGGGGTTTAAGGTGTGTGTCACCACCACCAGCTTCAATTTAATTACTGATAAAAGGATTTGTCACCTATATTGCACTTGTAGTGTTTCTTCCCAGAGTAAATTTTCTGATGCCTATGAAATGTTGATAACTAAGGAAAGGACATTTTACATTGTTCGCATTTGTAAGGTTTTTCCACTGTATGGAGTCTTTGATGTGTTTTAAGGTTTGAGCACTGATTAAAGGACTTGTCACAAATGTTGCACTTGTAGGGTTTCTCTCCAGTATGAATTCTCTGATGCCTTGTAAGAGTTGACTTTTGAGTAAAGGACTTGTCACATTCCTTACATTTGTAAGGCTTCTCTCCAGTATGCATTTTCTGATGGCTATGAAGTGATGATAACTGAGGAAATGACTTTCCACATTCTATGCATTTGTAAGGTTTTTCCACAGTATGGAGTCTTTGATGTGTTTTAAGGTTTGAGCACTGATTAAAGGACTTGTCACAAATGTTGCACTTGTAGGATTTCTCTCCAGTATGAATTCTCTGATTCCCATGAAATGCTGATAAATGAGGGAATGACTTTCCACACTCTTTGCATTTGTAAGATTTCTCCACTGTATGGAGCCTTTGATGTGTTTTAAGTTGTGAGCATCGATTAAAGGACTTGTCACAAATGTTGCACTTGTAGGGTTTCTCTCCAGTATGAATTCTCTGATGCCTTGTAAGAGTTGACTTTTGAGTAAAGGATTTGTCACATTCCTTACATTTGTATGGCTTCTCTCCAGTATGACTTCTCTGATGGCTATGAAGTGATGATACCTGAGGAAATGACTTTCCACATTGTTCACATTTGTAAGGTTTTTCCCCAGTATGGATTCTTTGATGTGTTTTAAGATTTGAGCACTGGCCAAAGGATTTGTGACAAATGTTGCACTTGTAGGGTTTCTTTCCACTGTGAATTCTCTGATGAATTATAAGATTTGACTTCACAGAAAAGGACTTGTCACATTCCTTACATTTGTAAGGCTTCTCTCCAGTATGCATTTTCTGATGGTTTTTAAGGACTATCAACAGGCGAAATGACTTTTCACAATCTTTGCATTTGTAAGGTTTCTCCCCAGTATGAAGTCTTTGATGTGCTTTAAGACTTGCACTCTGGTTATAGGATTTGTCACAAATGTTGCACTTGTAGGGTTTCTTTTCGTTATAAATTCTCTGATGTATGGTTAGGCTTGGGGAGGTACTGTAGCATTTTCTGCATTTTGTACATAAATGTGGATTCTCTCCAATGTAGATTAGTTGTTTTATAAGAGTGTATGTAGAGCTGAAATGGTCATCATATTCTCCCTGCCTGTGCTCTTTCTTAGCAAAGTAGAATCTCTGATCTTGAAAAATTTTGGAGAACAAATTTAAATATTTCTTACAATCCTTAGATTTGCAAGGTTCTTCTCCAGTGTGCATGCTTTGATGTCCATCTGTAAGTAAAGAGAAGTCGATCAGCAACTATTTAGACTAAAGTTCTCAGTAGTCAACCTTATTCTTTCATGGTACTTATATAGATTCTCACAGAAATGAAGTGATAGCCTTCAGGTAAGATGAAACAAATACTAGTGGAATCAGTAATTAACCTTGTGATAGAGCTCACTAGGCTATTGTATTTAGAACACATTTTTCTATTTTTAAATATTTATTTCTTCACATATTGATGAAAAAAAGTTTAATCTAATCCAAGACAGAAAGTATTTGTAATTCCTAATGAACAGCAATGAAGAATACTGTTGAAAATTCCCTTTAAGGTGAAAGTCTTACTCAAAGAGTAAGAGTATATTCACATCACAGAGTATATTCTCTTTTCTAGAAAACAGAGTGTATTCTCCAAAAGTAATGAATGCAGAGACAGTATTCTGTCAGACTTCAGAGGCTCAGATCATGTAAGGCAGGGCTGTCATGGACAGTTATTGCTGTTTTCTAACCTCCATTGGCTGAGGTCCCCACACTGCTATGCTTCTTAACTTTCCTCAGTTCACTCTGTACAACAAATCCTGAGATTAGTTCCCAGAAGGATGTCTGCATATTGTCCACTGGGGTGAAAATGAAGGATGTAATATAAAGACAAACATGCAAGTAAGGAAATTATGTAATATACCTTCTTCATGGATTAATTTTAGATGCAAACTTTGCAAAAGTATTCCAATTTGATGTCAACATAATCAAATAAAATTGCAATTTGTACTAGTATTAAGCCATCATAATTCAGATGCAATAAAGTACAATATCTTCCAGCAGTTACTACAGGCAGCATGCATCCTGGGATCACGAAACTATACTAACTTAAAATATCAGAAATCCTTCCAGGTGGAATTAAAAATATAGCCCTTGATTTCTCCTTCACTTGTGGATGTCACTGTTGTCCTGCTCATTCACTAGCCCACCCTACTTGTAGTTACTCTCTCCTCTCCACATTCCAGGGCAATCTCATTTTCTCCAGACAGGTGACCAGGCCTACTTTGCATATAGTCCATGTGTTGTGTGAGGTAGCACATGATCCATGGCAGAATATTTAGAAAGAATACAGACATCTAACATAGTACTGTGCTCAGTACATAAAGAGAACACAAAGTAGGGGAATATAGGAATGTTTCCCAATTGCTATTTCCTATAAATATTCTAAACATATTTAGAGAGAATTTTCAGTTTGCATACCTTGAGTTTTTCTTAGAATTAAAATGATATCAAATGAATTTATGGACATGGAGCTTAAATTTGGGATGGAAATAGCCCCAAATCCTTTGACCTACCATCTGTTCTGTCTATAAAATATGCTAGGGCAATGATGGAACAGAAATGGAGGGAGTAGTCAACAAATGTCTGATTTTAATTATGGCCCAATCTACAACATGTAACCCTAGCCAACATTGCTTGGGTAACCAAGGACCAAAGACTAGTTAGATGAGAAAACAATGGCAAATCCAAAAACTACTGGTGTACAAAGAAAAAAAAGTAACAATAGAATGACTACTAATTATATTCTACTATACTCATAGATTAAGGTCATATCCAGTCATTATCTGAGAAGCTTCCTCCTGTGGCATATGGGAAAAATGCAGAGACCCACAGCAGTATATGGAGAGAGTCTACATGGGATACCTCCAACAAATCCCTCTCTTCATAGCTAAGAGAACTATGCAGAAGAGGAAGTGAAGGGAGTATAATATCCTGAGGGGACTGAGGACAACAGAAGAACAAGGATTTCTGAAAAAAAAACTAGCCAAGTGCAAGTAAATCCACAGAGACTGAAGCAGCAGGCATAGAGCATACATGTGTCTGCACCAGGTCCTCGGCATAAATATTATAGCTTTAACCTTAGTATTATTATGGAATTCCTCAGTGAGATCAAATGGGTCTCTGATACCATGCCTCTTCCTAGGAGACTTTCCCATCTGTGGAGTTACCTTGTGTAACTTCAATATGATGGTTTTGCTTCATCTTATATTTTATTTTGCCGTGCTTGGTTGTCATCTCTTAGAAGGCTGCTCTTTTGTAGTGAGAGGAAGCAATGGAGTGGATATTGAGGCAAAGAGTTATGGGGAAGAACTGGAAGGAGTATAGGGAGGGGGGAAAGTATAATCAGAATATACTGTATGAGAAAGGTATCTCTTGCAATAAAAAACAATGAAAAAGATTTGGGTGCAAATATTATATACAACTATGTTTCTGAATGTATCATGGAACCAAATGAGTTGTGCATGACATTTCTAAAATAAAAAAGAGAAAAGGAAAAAAATTAAATATTATGAAAAAGTTCTTTCCTATTACCAATGTTCCTATAGTCCCTTCTTGTTTCCAAGACAGCTTAACACAGAGTTTACAGTCTGTAAAGTCGGTACATATGTAAGATAAATTAGGATTCTACAAGCAAAATGTTCTCACCCACAATGACCAGGTTCCTGTAATTCTCCAACATCACTTCAATGTACAAAGTCCTCTGAGCAGAGTCCAAGCATTCCCACTCCTCCTGGGAGAAGTCCACAGCTACATCCTGGAATGTCAACAGATCCTGAAACAAAAAAGTACAGTTCGATCATGTGATACCAGACAGAGTGCTTTCTTGGATAAAAGGAGACTTGAAGAAATTAGGGATGTATAATTACAATGAAATATGTGTAATAGCAAAAATATAAAATCACATGTGAGGCTCCAGATCTTCTTTTCCAAATGTCAACACTAACTGTATAAAATTACATTGAGGTGTATAGGCTTTGTGTATGGATAATTTCAATATCTGAATTTTGTCTTGTGTGCTTGTAATATTTTTATAACAAAGTTAAAAAATATCAGAAGAAAATTAAAGGCTTCCAATGTCTCAAAATACAACATTTCTAGAAAAAATAGTGGACATGATCACTGACCTGGGACATGTTTATTGCGGAATCAGCCATTTCTTTCTGTTCTCTTCTTTGAGTTTCTCTTTCACGAATGCTGAATAGATGGCTTGCTGTACTTTCATTAAGGATTTAAAAGGAAAATACAAATATCAATACTGAAAGCTATTAAAGAAAAATGTCAAATCACATGAAAAGACCTAAGAAACAGAATACTCCCAGTTGTGTGGTAAAAGATTCCAAAGACAGTCAACATGTAAATACATTTAAAGCCTGGAGGGAAAATTGTCATCAACTACATTGTTGCAACAAAATATAGTCTCAGCCGGGCGGTGTTGTCCAAAGCGAGTTCCAGGAAAGGCGCAAAGCTACACAGAGAAACCCTGTCTCAAAAAAAAAATAGTCTCTAAAATTAATGGAGACAAAAGTGCTTTTCAAGATAGGCAAGAATTAACACAATTCATTTCAATAAAGTGGGACAGCAGATAATAAATTAGAGGAAAAATATACAGAGGTCAATCAGAGGAATTATCCATAAGAACATGTGAAGAATTGATAAGCAGATGAGAAATGGGAAGTAGTCATCCATGGGCAAGATAGCTAACCACCAACTCTTACATTAAGTAAATAGTACTCTCAATAATCCAGCCAGTACCTGCTGTGGAAAATTCTTTTGTACACTGTGAAAATTTGTCCCTGTGATTGGTTTAATATGGAAACTGATAGGTGGTAACTAGACAGGATAAGGCTAGGTGAAAACATCAAACTGAGGATGCTGAGAAAGAGAAGTGCAGAGTTAGGAGAGTTGCCAGCCAGAGGAAGGATGAGTCAGACACACACAATTTGATAGAGGTAAAGGCCATGAGCCTTGGGGTAGTACATGAATTAATAGAAATGGGTTAACTTATAAGAGCTAGTTGGTAATAAGCATGAGCTATTTTCTGGGCATTTGTAATTAATATAAGCCTCTGGGTGATTATTTTAGAGTAGCCGAGGGACAGGGAAATGTCCACTTACAAGCAACACTAAAGTCTTAACCATAGGAAATAAAAACCTATAAACAAAAATTCTAGCAACTCTGGAAATCAACACAGAGAATTTTAAATCAAATATACAAATCCTCAAGTTAAACAAATTTAGCCCATGGACAAGCTGTACCACTCATTGGCATATGTTCAAAACAACTTGATACTCTACTCATAGATACTTGTTCAACCATGGTCATTGCTGTTCTATTCATAATAGCTTTGAAAGGCAAACAATCTAAATGTCCTTCAACTGACAAATGGATAGTGAAAATACAGTACAAATATACTATAAAATACTATTCAGCTGTGTAGAAAATTGATCTTCAGATCTGAGTACACAAACTGCAGCAACCAGAAAAGTAAAAAGAGACCACAGTGAGATATAGGGGAGTAATAGAGGAATTGTGGAGGGGCCCCAAAACAGCTTGACCACACAGCTATCATGACAGGCTTAGGGGCCCAGACACAGCTTCTGTGACAGGCTTACTGGTAGGCAACACCCAAGTCCAGGAAAAGCCTCCCAAGGATCCACCCAGGGATGAGGAAGTACGTGACATCTCAAACATTCCAACCATTAGATAAGGTGGCTGGCTAGATGTCCCTGTGTCTAGCACACATCTATTTTTGTTTCACACATACCCCTAGATAAATGTCAGCCAATCAGGGTCCTGGACCCTGGAAATTCCCTCACCCCAACCTCTGCTATGATAAAAATCCCACCCTGCCTGAGCTCAGGGCTCTCGGTTTTCACCTGCTATGTCAGACATACAGAGAGGCCAAGTTCAGAGCTTGAAGATAATAAAGGCTCTTTGCTTTTACATGCATGATTCTGTCTCTGTGGTGGTGTTTCGGGGTCTCTGTGATCTGATCATGACATTTGGTGGCTCATCCAGGATCCCCTAAGCCCACCAGGACCACTGGCCCATAGAGCCTGAAGAGCTGGCTGGTATGTTTTCTTTGTGTCTGCGTTTACCTGTGTCTAGTTTTGTGTTTTCTGTATTTACTTTTGTTTTTTTTTTGTTTGGATATCCTTTTGTAAGTGGGATTTTAGAATATCCTTTTGTAAGTGGGCCGTTGGGCCATTTGGATATCCTTTTGTAAGTGCCCAAAATTTGTAAGAACCTGCATGTATATGAATTTGATTTGTGTAGACGACATGGGTCACGGTCATGGGACTGGCATGAGGCTGGCATCTTTTTGGATTTGGTTTTGTCTCCAGATAACAGGAGAGCTGTTTTTCTGTCTTATGTGCTCTAAAAAGTTTTGTTTGCCTTCCTGTTGGAATGTTCTACCTATATGAATGTGTGACTTATGAGAAATGGGGCCACATATATGTGTGTTTTATGCCTGGGCTTGTATGTGTGTTATGACTCCTAATGGAAGCTGTGCATGGACAGCTTTTGGGGCCAGATGGCCAGCATAAGGGATGGAGGGTCCCTTTGTTGAGCTGGGACAGACTAAGAATGCTCCTGCCTCATTTCCTCCTTTTTCTCTGGGCAGCCGGCCAGCCCAGGCAGCGGGTCATTGTTATAGTGTGGTGTGGCATGAGCAACAGCCATGAGGACTTTGCATGGCCTGGACACACAGCAGGTTCATGGCCAGCCCCTATACAGGGAGCCTCAAGGTAGGGGTTTTGTGGTACAGTGCAGACAGGAGCCAGTGGGGGCCTCAAGGAGCTCAAAGCATGCCTGATCCAGGCAGGGACTTGTGGAGAACAGCCCCTCCAGGGTCACAGTCGAGATGTGGCCTACAGGTCCTAGAGCCCAGTCACTCTCATGTACTTGAGAATCTGGGTTTAACAACAATCTTTTGTTTCCATGCTGTGTGGGTCCTTTTTCCTCTCATGATGATGGGTGGGGCTCCTAAGATCTGCCCTGGGGCTAAAACCTGATCAAGGTTTGGTTCCAAGAGCAGAATGGAATGTCACTGCCTTTGGTTGCTAAGCTACCACAGCTATGTTATAAGGCTAACCAACAGTTTCTTGCTTGTGGTATAGTGCTGATGCAAATTTAGAGTTATTCTTGTAATGGTATATGCATGTATTTCTGTTCTTGTTTAAAATACTGTAGCTTTACAGTATATTCTAAACCACTGAGGGAAATCCCAAGAAAGACTTTGGTAAGAGTTTTCTATGTTAAAAAAAGAAAGAAAGAAATTTGTCTGAAATAAATGTCTGGACAGACTGGGGGTACATGGAAGGTTATGGAAGGTCAGAAAGGGTCTTATGGAAGGTTGTCAAAGGTCAGAGGGAATGTGAACTATGTTCATTGTGGTCTCTTATACCTGCGAATACTGAATTTAAAAGTTACTTCTGGTTGGTTTTCATTTTAAAATTAACTGATAATTCTGCAAACTGTTATGTTAAAAACAGATACATATATGTATCTATATATGTGTATATATATGTATGTATATGGACACATATGTGACTTGGGTTTAACTGTATGTATGAACACAAAGCTAGCTTTAACTGTATGTATGTGTATGTAACTTGGATCCCCAACTGTGCATATGTGTGCAAGTAATTATTGTTAAAAAAAACATGCTTTAAACAGCAACCACGTGGCTTTCCTCCATATTGGCTGGTGACCTCATGGGCAGCCATATGGCTAGCAACCATCTTTTACTAAGGTTATAAAGACCTATTCAGGTTAACAAAAGCTAACTTAGAGATTTACAGCTAAGTACTTATTTCTTTACCAAGTGTTCAACAGCAAGCTTCTAGAGAATTTAAATAGATGACAACATATGTTTAATAAATAAGGTATTGATAAATATTAAAGTTGCATCACAATACTTGCTCCAGCAGCTAAACTTTGTAATTTAAGATTTACTCATGCAATAAGATAATGGTTTTAAAGACATGAAGGGATCATAGGGAACAGCTGAGGTTTCCAAGGTATGGCAGAACAAGCATTCCAAAGAGAGTCTAATTTCTATGGTGGACCTTAGCAGTTTTGCAAATGCCAGTGTCAGGTGATGATCACCAGAAGCACCAGTCATAATGAAATGGAGCAGGCTATGTATATACTGGCAAGGGTAGGGCCAAAGAAAGCATCCAAGCCTCTAAGTAAAAGAACCAAAAGGATTGTGAATGAATCCCAGATATTGAATTTTGGGATTGTTTGCACTATGGAACTTGGTTTTGCTTTATACAGATTTTGGTGATGTCATGTTTTTTCCCTCTTAAAGTAAAAGAAGGTATTTTATTTATTTATTTATTTATTTATTTATTTATTTATTCATTTGTTTTTATTTTTATTTTTTTTTTTGGTTTTTTGAGACAGGGTATCTTTGTGTAGCTTTGCACCTTTCCTGGATCTCACTCTGTAGACCAGGCTGGCCTCTAACTCACAAAGATCCGCCTGGCTCTGCCTCCCGAGTGCTGAGATTAAAGGCGTGCACCACCACTGCCTGGCGGTATCTTATTTTTAATATTGCAGAAAGACAGTTGAGAGATCTTAACCTTTTTAAGGACAGTTTTTAAAATATTTAAATTTTGTAAGGCTATGGGAAATTTTAAGTTTATGAAATGCTCTATATTGTTAATATTTGGACTTAAAATAAAAGGCTAAAAATTAGGGTCACAGCCATAAGCATCAAATACTAACCAGGAACTGGGATGTTCATTTCTTGTGATGCAGCAAGACAGTCTGGCAAAGGGCTTGGAAAAGTCTGATGCTATGAGTCTCGACCCTTTGGGGGTTTAAAAAAACCTTTTCACCGGGGTAGTCTAGGACCACCTGTATGTCAGATGTTTGCATTGAGATTCAACAATGGCAAAGCAGCACTTATGAAATAACGTTGAGGATGTTGAGAGCTAGTGACTTGGAGAATGTTTTTCCTTATCCAGGGTCCATTCAGGCTTCAGAACATTGTCTAGCCTCCTTGTCTTTGCTAAATTTGTTAAGCTTAAGCTATTTGGATAAACTTGAGTCATATAAATGTTTCATATTGATACTAAAAGAGCTTCAACTGAGAGATTTTTTTAAGGTTCATACTTAACAGAGATAAAATTACAAAGTCATTTTCCCAAGGTCAGGCATTTAGATAAAGCTCCCATTTCCTCAGGGGCTTGGAGAAAGTTCTTACTTGCTATAAAGAGAGTCACCTTTCTTATCTCTGGTAAAAGGAACTTATGGCCCTTCCATTAACATATGGCTATTTTGTTTTAGTTTCTTTACTGAACCCATATTTGATACTAGAAAAGCTTTAATTTGCAATCATTGTTTTTAAGGCCACTTATTGTAGACTGCTAGAGAACATAAGAAAATAGTCATCTTATAAATAGTCAAGTTCTTTAATTGAAGTCATGTTAAGTACTGATGTAATTAATTACAGGGATAAGTTTTACTCAGTTCCTTGCATATGTTTTCTGGGTTGAGCTTAAAATAAGTAACTATAAACAAAGTTTGTCTATTCAGATATACCTGGACAGCCCTCATACTTCAGAGATCTATAGAATATGGCATTTAAATGTTGATCTAAAAGCTTATTATAACAGACAGACTTCCAGATCCTAGCAGTGACCCAAGGTCTCCAAAGAAGATTATGTATGAGGCACCACAATGTCTGCCTGGATTACCACAGGGCAAGATGCTCCAATGCCAAACCTGTGCTGTGGGATGTCCTGTATGCTGTAAATATATGTTGCTATGATTGATTGATAAATAAAATGCTGATTGGCCAGTAGCCAGGCAGGAAGGATAGTGTAGGCGGGACAAGGAGGAGGAGAATTCTGGGAGGTGGAAGGCTGAGGCGGGGAGATGCTGCCAGCCACTGCCATGAGGAGCAGGATGTAAAGTACCGGTAAGCCACAAGTCATGGGGCAAGGTATAGATTAATAGAAATGAGTTAATTTAAGATACAAGAACTAGATAGCAAGAAGCCTGAGCCATTAGGCCAAACAGTTTAAATAATATAAGCTTTTGTGTGTTTTTTTTTGAGTCTAAGTGGCTGCCAGCCCAGGTGGGATTGAAGATAACTCCAGCTACATGCCTGCCACCAGGACCTGACCCAGACTGTGGACAAGAAGCAGGACACTGGAATTGATTGCACCCCTTTGCCTTGATAAAGTAAGATCAGTCTTCTGTATCCCTATTCTACAGGAAAAACTCTGCCTTATGGGCCTGATAGTGGAAGAAGATGATGCTATTCCAATACTCATGCCTCCAACACTGTGGAGACCTGGGTATGGACTGTTCCCTGTCATTCATAGAATTGGAAGCTGCTTGGTCTGCACTCAGACATAGTTTATCCTTCTTGGATCTCTAATAGTACTGATGGCTAGACTAGCTATAACTTAGTCAGCTTGGCAGCATCAGACAACCAGATCTATAGCCAGCTTGTTAGCTAATTTTTAAGAGAATGTTCTAAGATATTTTTATAAGTCATAAAAGCTGAAATACTGGGTCAAAAGGAAACTCCCTGGAAGAGGCAAGATGGCCAACTATAATGACCATTGATATACAAGGAAAATAGGTTCAGGGATGTCAATAGATAAATTTATTAACTGAAATGGTTCTGCAATAAGATAAGACACTTGACCTTCTTTGTGCAGAATCAAAGAGGTATTATATAAGATCGTAATCAAAGTTCAGAACTATAGGACCTTAAAAATGTCAATAGATGAATGTGTCACTGCCCTAGAAAAATCTGTTAGCTAATGGTTTGTAGGTCCCAATACCCTTGAACCTCTGGACAGGTAGGACTCATGATTGAGTCCTATAATTGGTACTTGTGAAGGGGGAAATGTGGAGAGGCCCCCAGACAGCTTGACTACAGTCAACACGACAGGCTTAGGGGCCCAGACACAGCTTCTGTGACAGGCTTACTGGCAGGCAACACCCATATTCAGGAAAAGCCTTAAGCTTAACACCACCCGGGGATCCACTCAGGAATGGGGAAGTACCTAACATCCCAAACATTGCAACCATTAGATAAGGTGGTCAGATGTCCTTGAGTCTAACACATACCTATTTTTGTTTTATGATAAAAATCCCACCCTGTCTAGACTCAGGGCTCTCTGTTCTTACCTGCTGTGTCTAACCGACAACAGAAGGACCAAGCTCAGACTTTGAAGATAGTAAAGAGTCTATGCTTTTACATGCATGATTTGGTCTCTGTGGTGGTCTTTCAGGGGTTCCTGGGTATAACAGGAATAACAGGGAACAGTGATGTAAAGGGAGAAATAGAAAAACAGGGAGAGAATTATGGAGAACGTACAGATACAAACACAAAAGAAGGAGGGTAAAATAACACTAAGGATGTCTAAAAAGTCATAAATAATCATACTCTTATTATCTACCATTAATACCTATAACATATAGGTCTGTGTACCCAATTACAGTTAAAATATAAATGAAAAATTTCCCATCTGGGCTGATAATGCTTGTTATAAGAGACAGATTTTCTAACAAAATGACAAACACCAGGTGTTAGAAGCCTGCTTTGGAGTCACAACTATCCTTAAGATTATGGAACCCTTACAAGCTACTGCTGTTGTCCATGCTTGCCTCCTAGAGGTATAAGGTGAGTCCCTATTGTTTAAGTCAAACACTTTCCACATAGATGTTGCAGGAATCCTAAATGGTCTTATAATAAAAAACACAGAGCCAGATATTGGGGTAAATGCTGAAAGATCAGGGAGGCAAAGGAACAAGCTACAGCCACTTCTCACCTCACCAACTAATCTGCCATTCCTGTTTCCATGAATCCTCAGACTGACTGCTTCTGAATCCTCTTCCAAAAGGGCATTGAGTTCCTGTCTCCTCATGCCTTCTATGCCTTTCTCCACCCAGTCATATCATGTCCTGAATCAAACTTCCTAGTTCTGGGATTAAAAGCATGTGACTTCCAAGTACTGGGATTAAAGGTGTGTGCCACCACTGCTTGGCTCTGTTTCTGTTAGACTGGATTAATCCTGTGTAGCACAGTGTGGCCTTGAACTCACATAAATCCAGAGAAATCTCTGCCTCTGCTTCACAAATGCTAGGATTAAAGGTGTGTGCCACCACCGCCTGGCCTCTATGTTTAATCTAGTGACTTGATCTGTCCTTTGACCATCTGGCAAATTTTTTAGAATATAATAAAATATCACCACACACAGATCCCAGAGAACTTGAGATAGGACTTGTTGTTGTAATCTTAAATGGTCTTTGGTATGCCCAGATTGTGTGGGGGACCCCAAAAGACCACCATGGAGACTGAATCATGCATGTAAAAGCAAAGAGCCTTTATTTTCAAGCTCTGGCACTTGGTTTGTCTGTCCCACACAGTGGTGAGAGCAGAGAGCCCTGAACTCAGGTGGGATGGGATTTCCAGAGGTTGGGGTGAGAGGATTTCCAGAGTTCAGGACCCTGATTGGCTGACAATTGTCTAGGGGCATCTGCAAAAAAAGGTGTGTGCTAGACTCAGGGATATCTGGCCACCTTAACTAATGGTTGGAATGTTTGGGATGTTAAGTACTTCCTCATCTCTGGGTGGATCCCTGGGTGGTGTCAGTTTATGGCTTTTCCTGGACTTGGGTGTTGCCTGCCAGTGAACCTGTCACAGAAGCTGTGTCTGGGCTTCTTAAGCCTATGATGACAGCTGTGTAGTCAAGCTGTTTTGGGGCCCCTCCACATTCTTATAATGAAAATCCCTAAGTCAGACATTAAGGTGAAAGCTGAAAGATCAGAGAAGTAGAGTAAACCACATCCACTACCACTTACCTCAGCCTGAAAGAGCTCAGGTGATAGGCCTCTAGCCAAATAGCTTCCTCAGCTGAAAATGGTCCAGCAGAAAAAGCCTCTATCTGAACGGGACACTTTTGGGGAAAAGCCTTTAGATACTGTGTCCTCAAGCCTTATACATATTTTTTCCACCCAGCCATTGCTTTCTGGGATTAAAGGCATGTGTTCTTCCCAATACTGGGATTAATGTTGTTTGCCACCACTGTCTGTCCTCTATGTTTAATCTAGTGGCTTGTTCTGTTCTCTGATCTTCAGGCAAATTTTATTAGGGTATGCTGTGGGATGTTCTGTATGGCAAATGTGTTGCTAATTAGTCAATAAATAAAACACTGATTGGCCATTGGCTAGGCAGGAAGTGTAGGCGGGACAAGGAGGGGAATAAAACTGGGAAGTGGAAGGCTGAGTCAGAGAGACACTGTCAGCTGCCACGATGAGAAACAGCAT